TGCTTAGAAACAACACTGCTATGTGAACCTTGTGCAACTTGACTTGTTCATCTTTTTTTGCAGCCACCATTGCAGCTTGGGAAGACAAACACCTCATCCCTCTCTGTGTCACAATTCCATCACACATACTCCTGTTCTTCCCAGCTGGACAAGGTCTGGCAGGCCCTGTGTCCCCTCTTGTCCCCAGGCAGGATGATCTGGGAGGGATGGGCTGAACCTGGCACAGCCCAGGGTGCTTTCGGGGCACTGCAGCCATTGGGGCATCTGCGTCCAGCATCCCACCCTCGGTCATCTGCTTGCTTTTGCTAGACCTGAATGTTTGAACTGAAAACTCCACTTATTACCCCAGAAAAACACCAAGGATTTTTTATCTGGCAYACAAATTCCCTGGCTTTTTCAGCAGAAAGATCTATTGGTTGGTTTGTTAGCTTGGAAAGCTATCTGTGCCTCTGAGACCTCTGCTGACTCCGAGTTACGGTAATGCTGGATAACTCGGCTACTCATGCCAAGTTGCAAATGAGGTTTGATCCACTGGGCTGGCTCTGGAAGAGAATGAATGTTTTAGGCCTAAAACTGCCTGTGGTCTCATAAAAAAAMCACAGCTCTCCTGATTTTCTATTTATTTGCCATCAAAAGAATGATTCCATCCTGCCCTTTGCTTGTCCTCTGGTTAAAATTTGCCTCCCTGGCAAAGTGTTCAGTGGGTTACAAAAGCACAGGTCAAATATGGAAACTTACCCGATACAAAATCCCCAAATCTGCACTTTGCCACCAGCAGTGACTCCACGCCCACAGCCCCTGCTGARCTCTCAGTTTGGATTTGCAGACATTTCACCGAGCACAGCCCCTCGGAGCTCTAACGCTGTGCCCAGCCCAGCTCTGCTTACCCCGGACAGAGCTGGGCTGAGCTCAAACACCCCAGCCTGGCCATGGGCACTGCAGCCCTGTGCAGCTGCAGCCCAGTCCCTAACGGTGGTACCTGCGTTTATTTTCCCAGCCCCTTCACCTGCAGTGAGACCGAGGTGTGGAAATCCACCTGCAGGGTAAATACCGTGAGCAAACAGTGCTGTCACCTTCCAGAGCAGCTTTCCCAGCTGGCAGTGATGCTGTTGTGGAGCAGGGCCACGCTGCCTGTGCATGGGTGCTGCCTGGCTCAGGACTCCCCTCCTTTCCCTCGTTTCCAGCTTGCTGCAGTGCAGACGTAAAACCAAGCAGAGCTGTTGACAGCACTTCCAAGAAATGAATGCAACCAGAAAAAATTGGCCTGGAAAACAAAATCCATTCTGCTTCCCTTGCAAAAAGTTCATGAGAGTGCCTGCTCTGCTCCGGTAAATTGATGTATTTGTAGGTCGTTCTTCCTAAGCCAAGCTGTCTGACACGGGTGCCCATACGGAGCAGAAGGGACAATTCATACAGAATCAGCAAAGCCAGGAGTTGTTTTCCTTCTCATGCCAGAGCAGAATCTCTCAGAATCTCTCTGAGCTGCACACCAGAAGATCAAGGTTCTGTCCTGGCCCTAAGGTTTGTGCCCAGGRATGTCAAAGGAAACTCTTCCTGGACAGAGGATCCCTGCAGCTTTCCAGGCTCCGGCAGCAGGCAGGAACCAGCCAACAACAGCAACAAAATTTGTGCTCCTTTTTCTTCCTCCCCACTTAGCTGCTCTCTAGCCAGGAGCTTTCATTGACCTTCATGGCTTGCTCAAGAGCCCTGAAAGTCAGATATTTTTCCCTGGAGCCTCCACTCTTGGTTTCACCTTGAAACCCCTTCTGCTAGAAGACTCTCCCACACCCTCCACTCCCCAGTGCCCCCAGTCACAACCAGCTTAGCACACCCCAGGAGCTGTCRGTCAGCAGTGATGTGCTGGCTGCTGGCCTGCCCACAAATATCTGYATTTGGCAAATAAAGCTGGTTAATTTAAACCACCACAGCCTGACAGCTCCCTAAGGGCCCTTATAAAGTTAAGACTTAGGCAATCCTTGGGCTTGCAGTGTATCCTAATGCTCTGTAGTCCTTTTAAATAAAGTGGTCTGGCCAAGATGTGTCTGGGTTCAGTGCTGTGCTCAAAGACAGAAGTGCTGCCAAAAAAGTGAAGGCTGAACAACCAAAGGARCTCCCAAAACTATTTTATAAAATTACTTCAATTCAGGTGATRCATAAAAGATGGCTCCTTTTTAAAAGAGGGTATCCACCCCTTCATTCAAGAAGCAAAATCTCTCAATGAACATGCTCTGACATCTCACAAGACCTTCACCAAGCAAAAAGCAGAAGCAGTAAGTTTGTACTTTAATTACATAATAAATGTACCTGAGTTCAGACTTGTACACTGCCACACCCGCAGGYGAGTTTAAAACACCTCAGCCCTGACTGCAAGGACTCACAATCACAATGAAATAAGAAAACCACCCTTCTGGTTWTTGTGTTGTTGGTAAACTTCAAATCTTTGTTTGGGTACTGAAGGCATAATTTTCCATTACTCCTGGCAAGCACCAGCAGGTCTCAGGAGCTTGTTCTGCAAGGACACAATTGGGGACCAAATGAGGCTGAGGAGCCCTGAAGGACAGAAAAGGAGTCCCTGACACAGAGCCCTTGCTGTGAAGGGATGAGCATCACTTCTTAGCTGCAGCCAGAGCTCTGTATGGAAAAAAAATCTGCTGTGTCCAAATCGATCCAGGGAATTGCTTGAGGATGAACTGAGCAGGGAATTGCTTGAGGATGGACCTGCTCTGGTCACTGTGACTGCAGAAGTTTCCCCTCAGGAGCAGAGAGAAGACACCAAATGACTTGCAGGGGACAGAAGTGAGGCAGGGTGGTCTCTGATGTGGAATGCTCAGCTGGCACACCAGGGTGAAAAGAATGAGAAGGGAGTGTCTTYACAAACCAACTCTGGGGGTGAGATAAGGCTGATACTGGGAGATAGAAGGAAACAGTGGGAAGGATTTCCATAGGAATTCCACTGAYTGATTTACCCCARACTATGTTAATAGACTACAAGAGCAGAGACACAGAGATGTATATTGAAAGGGGGCAATGKATGATAGAAGGGGGGTTTCATCAGGCGTTTTGGGGAKCCTGTRCYYYYAAAKWMC